AATGTGGCACATATCCTTTTCCTTTATTCCTTCTTACCCTTCTCCTTCATAATCCTTCACTTTCTTAATTCCTTCTTTCTCTTTCTTTTCTTCACTTTCTTATCCTCTTCTTTTCTTTTTCCCTAATACAATCCTCCTTCAACTTACACAGACCATCTTCGACTTACACAATCCTTCTTCAAATTTCTAGCCCATTTTAGTTTGCCCTTTTAACTCATTCAGACATAACCGACTTTAGAATAACCCACATTCAATCCTATTTTTTCCAGACTAAATGCCATAATTTATACCTTTCATTACCAAAACTATATATTTTCCCAATTTAATTAAAATTCTCAACTTATAGTGACAACTAAAAGTAAGTAATTAGCATTCTTTAGATGGACAAATTTATGAAGACATTTCACAACTTTCAGAAAGTTTTTTCTCCCACTGGCAAATACATTTAAATTTTTTTGTTTTTGGTGATTACTGTGTTGCTTGAGTGTGCTCAAAAGTGAGCTGTCTTATTACCTAGTACCCCTGAAATTTTTAGGGAGACTTGGGAAGAGGCAGGGGAAATACTAAGTTTGGCACAGCTTGTTTCCAGGACCAAAGCAGTGTCTAGGTCTCCAGGAGGAAGATTCTGAGTATTTAAAAGACACACTTTCTCATTGTTTTTCTCCTTGAGCTTTTCACTGTCTGAGAGAAGTGAGATATTTTTCTTTGCTTTGCTTTTTAAAATTTTATTGATTATGCTATTACAGTTGTCCCATTACCCCCCTTCATTCCCCTCCACCCTGAACACCCTCTCCCACCCACATTCCCCTACTTTAGTTCATGTCCATGTGTCATAAGTTCTTTAGTTTCTACATTTCCCATACTATTCTTGCCCTCCCCCTATTTTCTACCTACCATCTATGCTATTTATTCTCTGTATCTTTTCCCCCTCTCTCCTTCCACTCCCCTGTTGCTAACCCTCCATGTGATCTCCATTTCTGTGGTTCTGTTCCTGTTCTAGTTGTTTGCTTAGTTTTTTTTTTTGTTTGTTTTTGTTTTAGGTGTGGTTGTTAATAATTGTGAGTTTGCTGTCATTTTACTATACATGTTTTTTATCTTCTTTTTCTTAGAAAAGTCCCTTTAACATTTCATAAAATAAGGGCTTGGTGATGATGAACTCCTTTAACTTGACCTTATCTGAGAAGCCCTTTATCTGCCCTTCCATTCTAAATGATAGCTTTACTGGATAGAGCAATCTTGGATGGAGGTCCTTGACTTTCATGACTTGGAATACTTCCTTCCAGCCCCTTCTTGCCTGTAAGGTCTCTTTTGAGGAATCAGTTGACAGTCTGATGGGAATTCCTTTGTAGGTGACTGTCCCCTTATCTCTTGCTGCTTCTAGGATTCTCTCCTTCATTTTTACCTTGGCTAATGTAATTATGATGTGCCTTGGTGTGTTCCTTCTTGGGCCCAACTTCTTTAGGACTCTCTGAGCTTCCTGGACTTCCTGGAAGTCTATTTCCTTTGCCAGATTGGGGAAGTTCTCTATTATTTGTTCAAATAAGTTTTCCACTTGTTGCTCTTCCTGTTCTCCTTCTGGTACTCCTATAATTCGGATGTTGGAATGTTTAAAGATGTCCTGGAGGTTCCTAAGCCTCTTCTCATTGTTTTGAATTCTTATGTCTTCATTCTTTTCTGGTTGTATGTTGTTTTCTTCCTTCTAGTCTACTCCATTGATGTGAGACCCAGCTTTCTTTCCAACACTATTGGTTCCCTGTGCATTTTTCTTAATTTCACTTATTGTAGCCTTCATTTGTTCATCTAATTTGCAACCAAAGTCAACCAATTCTGTGAGCATCCTGATCATCAGTGTTTTGAACTGTGCATCTGATAGGCTGGCTATCTCTCGGTCGCTTAAAGGTATTGGTTCTGGGGCTTTCAGTTGTTCTTCTGTTTGAGCCACTTTTATTTTGTCTTGTCACTTCTATTATGTTGGGGGGCAGAGCCTTAGGTGTTCACCAGTGTGGGTCAACGCAGTTGCTGAGTTGTGATGCTATATGTGGGGGTGGGGTCCGAGAGGAAACAATGACACTTGCTCCGCTCTCCATTGGACTTCAGTGCCTTTTGTCACTTCCCCTGAGCAAACTAGGGCTTTCTAGTGCTGATTCCCATGTGGGTGGGCTTGTCCACCCTGTGAGTCTCTCCAACGAACTCTCCTGTGAGTCTGGGAGTCTCTCCCAGTGCCTCAACTCCCACAGGTGTTTTCAGTCAGTGCCCTGAGGCTATTTCCGGGCACTGGGACCCTGGGACTGCCAGGTCAACCAGCCACTTTGCGTGCAGTGTCTCACTTCACAATCGCTGCCTCACTGGGTTTGCCGGTTGCTACCCCTCGGCAGGGGTCTGCTGCTGCAGTCTTGCACACCTGGAAGGCCTTACGCACCCGATCCCAATGCTCTTAGTTCCGAGACCCTTCTCCGCCCCGCTGCCTGACTCCGCCCCTCCTACTGGTCTGGATGAACATGTCTATTTTAACTCCTTGGTTGTCCGACTTCCATACAGTTCAATTTTCTATCAGTTCTGGTTGTTATTCTGTTTCTAAATTGTTGTTGTCCCTATCTTGGTTGTGCAAGGAGGCACAGTGTCTACCTATGCCTCCATCTTGGCCAGAAGTTTTTTTTTAAATAATCAATTTAAATTCTGAGTAGAATTCTTATGATGTAACATTAGAGATCTCATTCTATTTACTAAAACATTTTGAGACTGAGACATTACTTTTCAAACAGAAATAAAAATAAAATTCAAGCAAACCAGTATTTTCAAATTAAATCCTCTAAAGGAGGGAGTGAGACACTAGCCTTTATCTCACACCACCTGATGCTGTTTCAACTTCTGTCCAACTTTTTCTTAAATAACTAAGTCTAAAGATCCCTTATCAGAGAGATATTTAACAGCTTTAAAAAACAGCTGAATTAGCATAAAACATTGCTTTTGTTCTTGGGAAATCCCATTCGTGTTGTTAAAAGGTTTCTTTTTTACTTTCAATTTCTGCCCTCTCAGACTCCACAGCCCGTACTAAACCCTAGCTAATTAGCTATTGGGGAGTACAGTGTGGTAGGTCAAAAATGTACTGTTGGTGGGAGACAGTTGAGGAGGGCTGCCTGGTATGCAGGGTACCCTAACCCAGCTTATGGGTTTCAGGTTTTTCCCACGCATCTAAGACTGCGAGGGGGGCTCGAAGTGCCAGGTGACCAACCTTTACATCATGCTCCCTGACCGAGCCAAGGTAAATTACTGACTGGCATTCCCTGTGAGGCCCCTGCATGTCTCGGGGATTGACCCCAGACATCTCCGCAAGGCCCCTACTCATGTAGGAACACTTGAGATCTCAAGCCGGAGGAAGGAATGCCTCTTATCTTTGGTGCTTCAACAAGAAGCTGAAACACTCATAAACAACCTTGTTAACTAACTCTTGAGTTCTCAAAGCAATCTTTGGAGTCTGGTTGAAACCAAAACACTCATTTACTATCTGCTTTTCTGTTTACAGGTGGGTGGAGGGAAAAGGCAGAATCAAAAGGGCTGCAAAAGGCAACTTTTAAAGAAAGAATATGTAGAGGCGCTTGTAAGAAAAAAAAAGCTAATTGAAAGGAAAATTCATTGCTCTCTCCCCAAGCCTAAAACCTGATTGGGGATTGTGCTGCGGGGACGAGCTTGTGTTTTTTACAGTGTACCTCTCATTGCGTGGGCATTTGCTTGCAGTTGGCAGAAAACCTATTCTTTCCAGGCCCACATCCAACTCATCCTGTCACAGGAGGCTTTGTTGCAGCGAGTGCCCTTGTGGCTTTTAAATGCTGGACCGGTTCCCTCGGGGTGTGGCAATTGCTGGAGAGAGCAAGGCTTCTGCTTACTAAAGAGATTGCAACCTTGGAAAAATATCCCTTTTTCCCTGAAATATAACACACCCTACGACCTTGCCGAAGAGCACTGGGGGCCATGGGCACTTACCTGTGCTGTTGCGCGCGTTCCAACCACCTTGGTGTGTTGGCCACAACAACGTCTGGTAGCCTTTACGATGGCTGATGGCCTCTGCGTCTCTGTTCCTCCTGGGCACCAGGTGTGGCAGACTCCAGACAGCATTTTCATTTTGTTCATACATCATTTTCTTGACTTTCTCCACATTTTCCTTTAGTACTTGGAGCTTAAGACAGTTGCCTCAGTCTTTACTAATATATTTGCCATTAAAACCTCTTCAGGGACAGATCCTGTTGAATTATTTTTTTTCCTTTGAATTGACCATATGTTCCCATTTCTTTGCATGCCTTGAGTTTTTTTTTAACATTGGATATTTAAATCTAATAATGTATTAACTCCAAAAATCAGATACTGCTCCCCACCCCCCTAAGCTTTGTTCTTATTTTTACTTATTTATTTTTATAGTTGTTGGCCACAGTCTTTGCCACAAATAAGCCTCAATGTGAACATGTTCCCTCAATGGGAACCTTTTCCTCAGGTCTTTTCTTAGCTTTTCCATGGGTGTGCAGCCACTTTCTAATTTTTCCCACACATGCAGTTGTTTTTGAATGTTGGTCTGTCATACCTGGCTCCTGAAAGGAGAAAACAAAACAATGAAATGGGTGGGAGAGGGCACCAGTCTGTTAAGGCTTCTGGCAACCATGTCAGCTAGAGGAGGGGCTTGCAGTAAGGGGAGAGGTGCCACATGGCTCCCAACCTCTTTGCACCTTTGTGATCACAAGTAGCAATCAGTGATTGGCGCAGACCTGTAACAGTTAGGACAGGGTCTTTTTTACCCACCCTAACACTCATATGCTGTGTGCAAGCTGCTGCAGGAACAGGCGAACGTGGCTGGGGACTGGGTGGCTGTTGCTGTGCCATGGGCTGAAATTAACCAAAATTAACCACAGTTTACCAGTCTTTACTTATATCATTACTGGTGTTATTTTATCCATATTTTCTGTGATTGGTCCCAAGAAAACTTTAGTTACCAAACCAATGAAATCCAGTAGTTAACATTTTATAAAAATACAGCTTTATTGTTTTGGTGTTCTTGCATGATACAGACACCGAGTCATATAAATTCAGTCTTCATGTTAACTATATATTAAACAAAAAACTAAAGAAATCAGCAAAACTGCTGCAAAATCCCTCTAAACCATGAACTCTTATCAAAAATGCACACTGAGATGATGGAACTATTTTAAATCATTATGCTCTGAAAATTAACTGCTGGCAAGTGTGAATGTTTAAAGAAGCAACAAAGAAAAATGTGTTGTGGAACAAAACTATGGGGGGGGTGCGGTTCTAAACTGCATACACAGTGCGCCAGACCAGCCAAACAGCCCCACTGAACATTTCAGCAAAGTATCATCTTTGTCTGACAAAGATGAGGGGCTTGTCCAACTGCAGTGTGATTTTATTTTATTTTTTATTTTATTTTAATCGTTGTTCAGTTACAGTTTTCTGTCCTTTATTCCCATCCCAGCCCACCCAGCCATCCCTCCCCACCTCCCTCCCATTTCCACCATGCAGTGTGATTTTAAAGCAACCTCAGGAAAGCATGGCCAGAAGCCTTGGTGGTCACAAGACTTCAGAACACGCATTCCAAAGGGTGTAACTATAAGAAACACATCCATCCTCTTCACTCCAAAAGCCTTTCCCAGAGCCCTAACTCAACATCAGGTTAGTAAAGTGACTAAGATAAGGGTCAGCATGGATCTTGGAAACCCACAACTGTAGCAATACATATATTCATGCATATAAAGCCTGGAAAACTCTTGCTGAATTTCAGAATAGAAAGTTTTGAATGTTAACCTCGAGACAGGGTATGATATTGTAACTAAAATTTTCCTTATAAATTTTGATATCTAAGTCCACGAGAGACTCGAGACGCACAATTTCCTTCATCTTGTCTCACAAGGGTGCACCAATGCAGGGACTGGTCCCTTGCACAAGTCTCCCAGTGTCCTCTTCAGGCTGGAGCAATTGGAGCAGCTTGTGGGATGGCCCCAAGAACTACACCAGGCCCAAACACCCCCCACAGGCACAATTCAGCCCCAACGATTTCCATTCCTTGCTCAGAAACGGCTCCACACCAGCAGTTTGGAAATGGGAGCACAGTGGTGAGGGCGGCCATCCCCATGTCCCAGAAGCACATCATGCTGATGTCCACGGCGGGGTCAATTCCGAGGCTCTGAGGCCATGGGGCTACGGACTGTGGACATGAGGTGTGACTTGTAGGTTTTGCTCAGGCCTGTCATCCAGAATTTGAGCAGCTTGACATTGTCCTCCTCGGATGCTCCAAGGATACTCAGGAGCTTCTGGGTGTCCTCTTTGGGTCGACTGTCCACCTTAGTGAATTTAAAAAGGACCTTCACTTTGCTGTGGAAAACCAAACACAACACTCAGACACCACAGCACGGTCACCAGAGTTCTGGTCCTGGGGCCCAAGTGGCTTCAAAGTCAACCGCAGCCCCACAAGTGGGACTGGAATGCAAGCACTGAGAAGAGACAGCGTGTCGGGCAGTGGCCCACTCCTGCACACCTAGCAGTCTCTAATTGTCAGCAGTTACTGCCCTGGGTAATGTGGCTGGTGCATCAAAACAGGGAAAACACACAAAAGAAAAAAATTTTCCTTAAATTCATAAAAGGACTTGGTTGATCCTAAGCTTCTCTGTACTACTGGAAATCAGGACTATGTTTTGACTAATTAAATTACTAAAAATTACCCCCCAAAAAACTACTTAAGAAGGCAGGAGGAAATAAAGTAACTTGCTTTAGTAAAACAAGAACATCTATGATCTGACTTTCAAATTTTAAAGTTAATTAAGCAGCTTTCCTTGGAAGCACATGTCACCCCCATCTCACAGGTGAGCAGCCTGAGGCTTGGGGGCACTAGGTCATTTGTTCAGAGGCACTCAGCTAATATATTAAGTGGTGGAGTGGGTATTTGAACTCACGCTCTTAACCTCTACTCTGGACTACCTCTCTTGGCAGCCACGACCTCACTTCTTTCCCTGGAAACAGCTCTGGTTTTCCTCAGCAGACCCACTGCCGGTGGTAGTCCAGCCCTCCCCAGGAACAGACATCAAAGACTCTAGGGACCCAGGTGGGGTGCACTTACTTCATCCACTCTTCCTTGAGGCAAATGAGGCACTGGTCAACCACATCCACAGACAGATTCTGGTTGGTCAAGGCAGCTTCTATCTTATTCAAAATGGTTGGGCCAACTAGGAACAGGGTGGGAGGAAGCGGGACGCTCAGCACAGGGGGAGTGCCCTCCTTCCCACTCTCATTCTGGGGGAAGGCAGCCCACTCAGCAGCACCCACCTCTGTCTGCAGCTACAGGACTCCCACTGGTCACTGAGAACTCATACTTGCTGAGAGGCTGATCGTCCTCACAGCTGGCGGTGTGGAGGCTGGAGCGAGCGGCTGCGTGGACCTCCACCACAACAGCAAACTCTGCAGCAACACAAAGCACACCGCTCTGCAAATGCACTTCTCAGTCCTGTAACAGCCCCCACTCTGCTGCTCCCAGTTATCTCAGATTAACCAGGGAGTCACTCCAGTCTCCTGAGATTAGTGCTTTGCATTTCAAACTCTCTGTGGTGTATTTGTGAATAATTAAGGTTTAACTTTTGCCTTGGTTAAACTAACAATATATTGTTTTATAATAATTACTATTTTATATACCTCAATTTGCTTAATACTAAATAGCCCTGTGACTGCTAGAGAAGCCCTGCTCTTACCCCCGTTTTATAGACAGGGAAGCAGACCCAGCAGCTCAGGGACTTGCCCGAAGTTACATAGCTGGAAGTGGTAAGAATTTCAAGCCTGTATCTGAAACCAGGGCCCATGTTCTGAACACCACCCAGAAAAAAGGAGCTGCCTCTCAGGCACCCAAGACCCAGTCTGGTGCCGAACAGAGAGGAAGCTCGGGGCTGCTAAGTGCCAAATGCTCTGCCAACAGACCTCCCAACTGCCTGGGAGCACAGTGACTGCCCCTGACAGGCGCGCTCAGAGAAGCCCTGACTACTCTGGGAGGCTGGGGTGTGCACCCAGGTTGACTCCTGAACTTCCTAAACCAAAGGACAAGGATGCTGATTAGCTTCTTGGTTGTCTGCCTAGAGGAGAAAGCTTGTTAGCACTGAGGGTGCAGCCAGGCTGAGCAAGCCCTACTCTACTCATGGATGCGAAGGATGTATTTAAGGCATAAAAATACATTTGAGATCATGCTCCCAGCATATGTCATCAGTTTTGCCTTAAATAAACTCTTATTTACAAAAGGTATATCAAAGGAAGAAAACACTTGGAGAGGGCCAGGAAGTAGGGCCAGACAGTGATAGAGCAAGGGAAGACCACGAGACTTCTCCAAGGACGATGAAGGCACACTGTCACTACCCAGCACACCCCCGACCCGCAAAGGCTCCCGACTCACTCCCACCAAGACAGCACTGCAACCGTCTTGACATCCACTGGGGCTGTTCTCACTGCCAGGGTGGTGACGGTGGTTTGCCCCCAACAGAGAACCAGGCCCTGGGTTGGCTAGCCCCACCCTCAGCCGTATTAAAGACAGAAAACAGAGGCCCAATGGTGTTGGGAAAGCTGGTCCTACAACATGGGCCCTCTTGCTTCTGAGGCTGGCAGGCAACACCCTGGAATGCATGCGAAGATCCAGTCCCACCTCCAAGTCTGGAGGCGCAGGGACGAGACCAGACAGGACAGGCACGCACCTGAGGCGAGCACATGGGCAGGCACCTGCACATGCAGGCCGAGCCCCAGGAAGTTGCACCGGTAGGCCTCCTCATACTGGCTGCTGTAAGGGACGGCGCGGACACAGCCCACTGGTAGCATGGTCTACAAAGGACAGAGGTGACTCAGGACCGACACTGGTTAGGACACCCCCCGCCCTGCCTGTCTCCATCATTCACACGCCACAGACCCTGTACAGCTCAACCCAAATCCTCCCTCTTCCCAGAAGGCGTTCCTGGTCATTCTGCCCTCTAACAGTGTGTGCTGGCCACTAGTCAACATGACTCGCACTGCCTTTCACTTTATGGTATTAATTCTTATGCAGTTCTTTTATTTCTCAGATGTTTATGTGTTTCCTCATTTGATAAAAAGATTATAAGTTTTCTGAGAGACTGTGTCATAGCCATTTTGTGCCCTCAAAGTCCTAGGCAGATGGCAGGTCCTCCCATGCTTTCTGATGACTTAAGTATGTCAGAGCCAAACTCAGGCCCTGGCACCTGGCACCCCTCTGGAACAGACAGCAGGCTATGCCCACACCCCAAACAACCCATGCAGATTGCTCTCTGTCGAGGCAGACCTGCTTCTGGCAGCCATGAGCCACTCCTGTGGCTTTGAGAGGGGTTCAGGGATTGGGAGTGGGGGTCAGGATAATTAGTTGTCAGCCTGTTAGGACAGTACAGATTCTTCCACTGGAGATAAAACCCATAAAGCAGGGTGTCAAACTTTTTCACCGGGGGCCACATAAGCCACGAGGTTGCCTTCAAGGGGCCAAATGTAACTTCAACTCCTTAACAGTACAGGAGTAAGCGAGAGCTTGGTGCTGCCACTGGGTAGAAACAAGGTGCTCGGCTGGATAAAACAAGGTGGAGGGCCGGATTTGTCCTGCAGGCCTTGTGTTTCCCACCTGTGCCATAAAGGATTGTCACTGCTGATAGTGGGGAGGCACACAGACCTCAGATGCAGGAATGCAGCTCGCACTGAGCCATTGATGCCCCCAGGGCCACACCTCAAGTCAGGTTAGTTTTAAAGCCCATTATGGACAATAAGGCCCTGCGGTGCAGCACATGGGAATGGGGACTCTCCTACCTGAAGCACTTCGAAAGCTGACAGCACCAGGTCGGGGTCTCTGCTTTTCCAGATGACCTGGTTCCCCATCAGGACATGCCAGGCCAGCATGCGGAAAGACTGGGCACCCAGGACCTGAGGGACAGAGTTCAGTGCTTTCTGCCCACCGGTGTTACCTGTGTGTTTGTTAGAAACCATCCTTTCGCAATAAAGGGCAGCGGGTCAGGAGAAAGCCACCCCTCATCTCAGGGAGGCTTGGTGGCGGGCTCAAGGTTGGAGGGAGGCAGGTAGAAACCCCGGATTCATACCTGAAAAACCTGATCTTGCACATTTTATAAGATCTTTTCCCAATTTTATTTTCAAAACCTTGAAGCAGAAAAAGTATTAGCTTTTTGCAACAGTGACCTTCCTTCTGCACATACAGCTCATTTTGCTGAACCACTTCAAAGTCAGAGGCAGGCATCGTGAGACTTCAGGACCTATGCAGAGCAGGGGCTTCTACACAAGCCCAACACACACCCCACCCAGAAAGGCCACACTGACGTGCTCAACCCAACAGCCAGTGCCCTTTAGAGCTAGTACACTTTCAACCTGGGAGTCATCAAAGAGTCACAACCACCTCGTTTGCCTATCCTTACTCTGCTTCAACCTAGACCAGCCTCTGTCTGCAGCCTCCCTTTCACTGACCCCCCCGACATCAACATTTATGAGTCCAGTCGTTGTCTCATGGCTCATGAACATGACCACACACACATAAAGGGACTACGACACTGCCTTTCACCATACCCCAAGCTCTTCGAAATGCTCCCACCTCTGGAAAAATTCAAGAGTCCTCCTGATTTTCATCCATGCAAGCACACAAGGGAGATTTCAGGCAAATCCATGACCTGGGTGGGTGACCATTTTTCATCCAGAAGTTCCACAGAGCATTGGCCATGAAATCAGTTCTTACTCCATTTGCCAAAACAGAAATAACTGTCTTTTGACAAAATTCATGCTTATTGTAAAAATAAATACAGAAGAGGGTTACACAAAGAGACAACCTGCTCTCGTAATCTAGCAATGCCTTCCTTCTGCTGCGGCTGAGACTTCTGTCTTTGGTGCACAGACAGTCCTACACTGCCTACCGACTTTTAGTCAATGACACACCACTCGCCCCATGGCAGTGGTCCCATAAAATTGTAACGGAGCTGAAAGCGTCTTACTACCTAGTGACGTCACAGCCATTGAGAATAACAGCATTACTCAGGTGTCAGCTGTAATGCTGGTAAACAAACCTACCGCACTGCTAGCTGCACAAAAGCACAGCACGTACACCCACAGTAGCAGCCAACACCACACCATCTAGGTCTGTGTAAGCACACTCTGTGATGTTCACATGACTATGAAGTCACCCGACAACCCATTTCTCAGAACGTATTCCCATTGCTAAGCAGTACATGACTATAAATATTTATGTACCACCCTACACAATGTATCGCATTTCTTTCTTGTGTTTAATGATAGTCCATTGTTTGAACACATTTACTAGGGTTGGACATTCAAGTTGTTCCCAATTTCTTACAGCAGCCATCATTCTAAATTTGCAAAGCATCTAGGCTGCATGCAAAAAGCTATTCAGTTCCTTTAAAAGGTTCTAGAATGACAAGATTAGCAAACCATCAGAAGCCTACCCTCCAGGCCTTTCTTTTAAGAAAACACCTACACAGCACCAACCCTGTAGCTAAGAGACTCCAGATGCCTACTGGTGGCTTCATCCCCCACCAAGGAGGTTCCTGGTTACCCCTGGCCAGCCAATCCCTGCTGGGTCTTGAACACAATGGGCCCAAAGGACAAAGTGTGCTGGACGCAGATGAGCTGGCAGGTGAGGACTGGACTCTCCTCCCGAGTTTCTGATCGGGGCTCTACCCCTCAACCACCTACCTGCCTCATGTGCCGAAGAGACTTAAACACAGACAGCTTCCGGGGCTGCCAGCTATCACAGTCTGAGAGCAAGGAAGAGTCTGTGGGGCACTTGGTCAGCTCCAGCCCCTCTGCGCCCTCTGGCAAGACAGGGGCTCTTTCTTCTTCAGCCTCAGAGTTGTCCCAGCCTTCTGATTCCTCTTCCAAATCTGCAAGGCAGACAATAAAATGGTTATAAAACATGCTGTCCCCTGGATTCCTTCATTTCCTGGATGCAACAGTCTCCTTACGTGACCACTTCAGCACAAAACATCTCATGGTTCAACCACCAGATGTCACTGATTCCTGGTTTTGGCCAGTTGGCTATGCCACCTTACTCTCAGAGCCCTTGGGAGGGCCGGAGGGTCCAGTCACTGTGTGCCTAGCCTGGAGCCTTACCCTGTACTGTCAAGCACATCACTGCAAGACTGCTGGCTGTGCGCTGTGGGTGGGAAACTCCAAGCAAATGGTAGGAACGGCAACAGCTTGTATTTACCAAGCTTCTCCGCAGACAGGCACTATTCTAAGGGCTTCCACACATTATTTCATTTAGTCTTTTCAATGGTCCTAAGGTCAATACTATTCTCCCCACTTCAAAGATAACGAAATATCTATTATTTCAATTAATCTTCCTGACAATATCCACAAATGGTAAGACCCACAAGGATGGGGCTATGCCCGTGCACACAGGATGCAGAGTAGCAGAGCAGGATCAGAAGGCAGGTGTGTCTGACTCCCAAGCATGTACTTGGAACCTCTCTGACCAGAACACAAACCAAGATGTGACAGTAAGACCTGCATTTCCATCTCTGCTAAAAGTGTTTCTCCTGATATGCTTGGCTCTCTGTAGGAGAGAATCTCACCCACAGACTATGCTTACCATCTTCCCTACAATAATAAACTATTCTAGGGACAACCAATGCACAGTGACAAGGTTTTCTCTTCTCTGAACACATTCTGCTCTCACCGAAACTTGACTCCCTCTTCCCTGCTCAGGAGAGCATGTTTGAATGCAAGTGTGTGTAAGTCACCTGACTACAGGAGTAACCTGGAAACAGTTCCAACTTATTAAGAAGGTCAATTGCTTGCAAACTGAAGCAGATCAGGCATTATTAGCAACAAAGTATACACAACATGCACCAGGAGTTGAGACTGAGAACCTGAATCAACAAACACTGAATCATCTCTAAAGGAGAAACACAGCAGGACCAGGACCAGAGGTTCCTGGCTGCTGGGCTCCACACCAGAAACCCCTGCAGAGTGATGTAAACGCACAGGCCCCCGAGTCCCAGACACAAGGGTCTGACCACAAGCCTGTCAAGGCTGCCCAGGTCCCAGTGAGGTTTGGGAGCCATTGCCCTTGATGGAAGCCTTGGGTCCAGCTGAAAGAAGTAGAACATTTTATTGTTAAAGGGCAAAAAATAAGAGACTGTCTAGCACTTGGTTAATGATAAAATAGGGACAAGAAAACCTTCGCTAAGTCAATATTCTGCACAGCCTGACAGCCCTAATGGTGGATTTCCCCAACCTGCCTGGGATCAGAGACTCATGGGATTGTCCAGGAAAATGAGACAGGAAATCACAGTACAAACACCAAGACTAAAGGACAAGCTTTCTGCAGCTGTTGCTCCCAGGCTCCTTCTCCCAGGCCCCGCCATCAGCTCCCCTGGGCTGGCATGGAGCAGGCCACAAGGCTGGGACAACCCCAAGCAGCCACTGCAGACGGAGGGCTTCCAGCCCAGCCCCTCCCCTCTCACCCGCGAGCTTCTCCATCTGGACCAAGGTGTCCTCGGTGGGCGCGCCCTCTAGGAGCTTCTCGGTCAGCCGGCTGCCGCATGCTTTCAGGAGCCTGAAGAACAAAGCTGTGATGTGTTCTTGCCAAAATGAAGACTACACCTAAAGCCCTTCAAGCCTCTTGATCTAACTACTAGTTTATAGAAAACAGTGTAAAGAAATGTGCGGAGCAACACCACAATACGATGGCTAAGTCCAAAACAAACAGCCCAGGTCTTCCCACAAAAGGTGCGGAAAACCAGGGCTTGGGGTGTGGGAGGAACTATCCCAGACTGAGAGCTTTGGAACAGCCTACGCACTGAGTTCTGATCCAATTCAAAAGTCAATTCTAAGGCAGAACAGGAAAAGTGAACTGGGACTGGGCTGGATGACACGTGTTGGATATGAGAATGGTTTTATGGTTGGAATGATACAATTAACATTTACTTTAAAAATCCCCTCAGAGAAAGTGAGAGGGCAGAAGAAAAAACAGTGAAATGTTGGTAATGCTAAAGCTAGACGATGGAGGTGTATATTTCATTGTACTATTTATTCTACTTGGGACTGTTTTAAAATTTCCTTAAGAAAATTGATTTTTAAAGGACAGCAGGAATGCGTATCAGATGGGTGGGGACACAGACCCTTCTCTTTAGTTTGCAGGTGCTGGGGAGCTGCCCTTGAGGATGCACCCCCGAGGACCCTCATTCACCAGAACCTTAAACGACAAGACACCATCTTTGAGCTAACACCACTCAGGGTCGAGAATCCGTGGGAGCCTTTGGAAGGAGTCTCTCTAGCAATGGAGGAACAAAAACAGCTTTGGCCAGAAGACAAACTGTGGTCATTTCAAACATGCCCATAAGTTCGCTGACACTCCTTGCTCTAAAAGGTGAAGACTAACCCTTCCCTCCTATTGAGTCTGATCCCAGGGACCAGCAAGCCTCTCACCAGCAGCAGGCACTGGAAATAATGTGTGCCTGTCCAGGCTGGGCAAGGAGACCTTGCAGGTCCCACCTCACCCTTTCTTCCCTCAATCACTCCAAGGGAAGTCAGCTCAGACGCCTACATGGGGAGGAGCCTCTGCCCAGAGCCAGCACCAACTTGCCGGCCATGAGGGAGCTGAACCTTCAGGTAGCACAGCCCCAGCTGATGCGGAACTCCTCAGAAGCAGAGCCAGGCATGGCCAGCCACGCCACCCTCTGCCTCCTGACCCATGGAAGCTGTGTGAGACAAATGTGTACAAAGAAGGGAGGGGGTCACTGGTCTCAGAATAGGGATGCCATTTTTAAAACATCACCGGGGAGTGAGTTCTATATAAGATGCCTGCCACCTACTCGGAGGACAATGGAACCCAGTTCAGTGCTCACTAAACAAGCACACACCATGGAGGTACCGATGGCTCTTCTCCCCAGTCTCGGGCACAATCCAAACAGCCTCCAGTAACTGCTCTCATTCTAACAGTTGCTGAAAGAGCTGAGAATCTCATTACCAAGCAAAGGAGGTGTGCAAGCACGCCCACAAGTTGTCATCGCTTGTCAAGGAGGTCAGTGAGCGGGCGGCATTACCATTCCTCTGGTGCAGGAACGGTGTGAAAGCTGTGTTCATCCTCTGGGCTCGCTGTGGGCACCCAAACTGCTCGGCTTCAAACACCTGAAACGCACAGGACAGGGTAGTTCTTGAACAAATCAGCCAAGCAGCCCAGCTTGTTCACAGCCACCTTCAAGATGCCACTCCTGAGGACTGCCCCGCTCTGCTTCCTTGATGCAGAGTACAGAAAATGCCACCAGTCTTGTACCTGCGCATAGAATGGTTTGTTTCCCTAGCTGCCTTAGAAGATACCTGAGGAGAAGACCTGGATGAGAGGTTCTCCTGTATCCCCTACCACAGACTCACTGAGCACTCGATAGATGTTGAGGTAGTATATGTGTTCAAGGTAGCCATTACTGTTACTCTCCAAGTATTTCCAGTCCTCCCTCTTCTGCGCACATGGAGGCATTCACGACTCAGAGCTTGGGGGTGCAGGGGTATATGACCAGCACCCCCCACTCCCTCTAGCAGGAGAATGAGCACCATTCAACATGGCTGGCGCTGCACTTACTGGGACCCTACAATGAACAGATTCCCCACGTCCCAGCAACAGACAAGAAACATGAACAAGAAAAAACTGGGGCTTGAGGGCACACGCTGTCTGTGAGAAGTGTGCTGGGTCACTAAAGGCCAGCCTCTGTGGGACGTCTGCTGCCTGTCCTATGATGCCACACAGAAGCTGGAGGGGGGAGCCCGCAGCACGATCAGTAAGTGAGCTTTCGGAATGGAGGTCAGAGGAAGCAAAGGCAGTGGGGATGAAACCACGGTGTCTGACTGCAGCAAAGACACGAGGGCTGAACAACACTCAAGAAAGACCAGTAAAGCAGCAGGATGGGCTGGCAGACCACTAGGTATATGGCCACTCCCCTGATCCTGAAGCCAGGAGTTGACAGCGTAGACAGAGCGGCAGCCACAGGGCCGCCCGCTTGCATGCTGTTCCAGCCCACTGCCACCCGCTGCCCCGGTTGTGGGCATCACCTTGAGAGCCTTGCCCTGGAGCTCATCAATGATCCCTCGGATCTTCCCAAGCAGGAAGGGCCAGGAATTGATGAGGTAGATCCGGTCCATCATGATGGCAATGATGCTGTACCAGCGCTGGAAGCCCCGGGCCAGGCTGTCTTTGATGAAGAAGGTGTGGCTGAACACGAACCCGTGCTGCTCGTCCCCAAAGAAGATAGGGCCTTCGCGACCAGGGCAAACCTGGGACAGAAGCACAGCCCCTCCAGGACACTGTCCTCTCCTTGCTTTAATGGTACACAATCAAACCCTCCTGCTTAGAGCATCCTTTCTGCCCTTATGAGCCACTGTTAATTGTAGGGTGAGTGGAAGGACAGGGTTGAGAGGGGAAAATTTTGCTTTCATCAGCTCCTGGGATCGAACTTCTAAAGATAACATTTGTTTTCATGAAATGCAAGGACCATTAAAGTAGGTTCATTACTTTTTTCTACCTTGAGCCACAGTAACTCCTACACACATGACCAGTCCATCCCAGACTCCAGTTTGGCGGCATCGCTCGCCTGCAGTACCCTGGAACACTGGCAGGTAAGAAGGGCCACTGCAGAGTCCGTGTAACACGTCCTCGCTCTTTATTTGCAGGAGAGAGTCCAGGGCTCTCTCAGGACAGTCACCTCCACTTGACACACAATTCTGTCAGACATGACTGCCTGCAGCTAGCAGATTAGTGGCAGGACATCGAGAGCAGGGGACAGCTGAAGATGAGTGCACAGCAACCATGTCAGTGAGACCCAGGAGTGAGGGAGCTCAGTATGTCTGACCAAGTGGGTGTGGTGAAAGAAGTTTCAGTAACTGGATTATGAATTCTTTGTGACAGATAAAAACACAGAAACTAAGCCTCAAACTCAACAACAGCAGCCATGTGGTATAGAAAGAAATGGATTCCCTCCTCAGTAGAGTCTGAGGACACATGACGACTGAGAAAATAAAAACGGTGATGTTTGATAGGGTAAACTACATATCCTAGAAATAGTTCACGTTTCAGAAATATATCCATGAAGAACCAACAAATAAAAGTTTCATGATTAAGATGCTGCTCCATGCCCACCTCCCGGACCTGCCCATCCCCTGCCCGACAGGGCTGCCTTCTGCCTCCTCTCCGCAGTTGGCACCAAGACTGGTCAGGGAGCCCCGGCAAGTAGGAGGTCCCCAAGGAGACAGCTGCCTCCCTTCCCACATCACAGGTGCTCACCTCACAGCTCAGGCTCCGCACGCAAGCCTGGCGGACGATGCTGAAGAGCTGGGGGTGGCTGGGGTGCTGGTGACTGACATATTTAATCGAAGTCTCTTTATCATGGCTGATGTACCCAGGGTGCCCCACAGCAAGTGATCGGCAGCCCTGCCCATGACGAGGAGAAGAAAACCAGTTAGTCGGGAAGCAGGCAACATACTTTTTAACTTGCAAACCACCATCTGTTTTCCTATAATAACTGGCATATAGAGTTATACTTACCTGAGGGTTTCCTGACTAGGAGAAGCAGGAGGCAAAGGCCACACGTTTCCACAGGGTATGAATAACAGACCTAAGCAACTGAGCACCTGTGTAGCAGGTGTTATAGAAAACTGCACACATTATCTCATTTAATCCAAAGCACAGCCTTGAGATAATTAGTGAGAATCCCCATCATACAGAAGGCAAAACTGAGGCTCAAAGCTGCCAAGGGGCCCACACAGAGCTCTGGGGTCTCAGGAGGAGGCCACAGACATCAGCGTGGTGTGAACACAGATCCAACACTACCTCTGACTTCAGGCTCCAACCCAGGTCCCTCACACAAGGAAGTGGCCTGGTAAGGGAACTCAGACCCTGTTTCCCCAAAACTGACAAAGCAGCACAGGGGAATGCCCCTGGACCCCACAAGGAGGAAGCACCTGAGAACACCAGGTGGAGGGAAGCGAGCCTGGGATGGGCTGCTGCGTGAACACGAGTGTGTACAGGGCAGGGCTGAAAGGCAGCTGTCACAGTGGCAGCAGCAGTGTGCTGGCACAGAGTGGCCTGGAAAAGCAAAAGCTGGGAAGAAGGGAAAGAACTAAGGGGACGCAGACAGAAGCAAAGTCACTCCATGAAGAATGGTCTGCACAGATGCCCTGAAAACCACACCTCTGTGAGGTCCCACCCCCTACACCCTGGGACCTGTTCACTGCCAGGAGGTCCCTCACACAGCACAAGTACAAGCCCCTGTAAAGAAATGACCACAACACTCTGAGACACTTGCCTCGCACATGTCCGCCTTTTTGGGTCCTGGGCTGCTGGACTCTGCGCCAGCCCCTTCAGCTGGGCTGTGAGTGCAGGTCCCACTGCTCATCTGAATGCCGCCCTCCTCTTCTTCCGCCTGTTCACCCTGGCCATGGCTGTCCCCCGCCCCTTTCGGAAGCGGGGCATGCAGAACCTCAGTACAGAAGAGAGTGCGGGGGCCATGGAGCTCACAGAAGTGACAGAGAGCGACAATGGCATTCATGGTGCCGCAGAGACAACAGGAGCCTGTTTTGGGGGAGAAGGGGAAACACCGTCAGCCGGCCTGTATGTGTCCCCACCCAGCACTGTGGAAGCTCTGGAGCACAGGGCCTGGGTGGCTACTCTGCCACACTGCAATGGGTGCAGGGGAACCCAGACAGACAGGTCCCTGCCCACGAGTTACAGCAAACAGAGCAAGAAACATGTCACTCCACGATTACAGAGAAAGGCCTTCAGTTCGAACAGTGGGCAGGCTCCGGGGTACACAGAGAACAACCCTCTCGGAGGGCAGCATTGGGAATGGAAGGGCAGAGTCCCTGGAGAGGAGGGGTGTGGTTTCAGACAGGTTTCTCAGACAGGAACTGAAGGGGCTGAGGGCAGGGAGCCATGGGGGGCTGCAGAGCACAGCTCAGGGTCTGAATGTCGGCACAACTCGGGGAACAAGGGCAGAAAACTAGGAGGGAGGGGATTTCAGGGATCCTTCTAGGCCTTGGTAAGACCCTGAATTTTTTTTTTCACAGACTGGAGAGCCTTTGATGGGTTCTCATGAGAAACATAAATTGAATCTTATTTTAAAAGGGTTATTTTGGCTGCTGTGCAGAAAACAGACTTCTGGAGCCAGGGGAGACCCAAGAAAACCAGCTGCCACCTCCTACTCGTTCACAGAGAAGAGGTGGTGGCCCGGGCCAGGGTGAGCAGTGAGGCGGAAAGGAGCAGTCTGACCGTGACTGTACCCCCACTGACAGCTCACGGGCGGGCTGCAGAGCGTGAAGAAGGGAGCAGAGTCACCTAGACCAGTAAGAAAGGAAGAGAGAGGACTGGAGGAGTGGGCAAGGAGGAGGCCCAGAGTCGACACCTGGTGAGCGTTCGAGTGCAGAGCTCGAAGGACAACGGGAACACGGGGGCAGAGCTCAGCAGGGCAGTCAGTGCTGGGTGAGGACAGGAGCGCTGCACTGGAGCCAGGGGCCCTCCAGAGCTGAGAGGTGAAGGGGAGGAAGAGCTGCACAGGGTGACAGGTAATGGCAGGCACTGAGGCGACCTCCAGCGTTACCCCAGAGACCAAGTGAGCAAAGTGGGGATGATGAGAAGTAGAGTCCTGGCGGCGGACACGGGGGGTGGCACCCAGCACAGCAGCTGAGGGAGAGGGAGGGAGAGCAGTTGGTGCACGTACAGACACAAGTGCCCTCTGGCTGGGAAAAGTCAGGCAAAGCTTCGTCGGTCGGAGCACGTCCAATGGGCGGACAGGCAGGAGGAGGCCTGGAAACAAGAACACAGGAGCAAAGAAATGGAGGAGGGGCAGTTCCAGCTCAGCTTATGTGACATGTGTCACATGGGAGGGCCTGGAAGCCAGGCTACAGAGGGTACACACAATCCCCAGTCCCACACTGTCCAACACAGCAGCCATGAACACATGTGGCAACTCATTTAAATTAATTAAATTGAAAAGCCCCATTCCTCAGTGTCACTGACCACACTTCAAGTGTGCACTAGCCATAGTGGGCTCATGCCATCATTTTAAAGGGACAGTGCAGATCATGGAACAGTCCCATCATCAGTTTTATTAGATAACACTGCTCAAAACAAATGAGGAGCCTTCTTCTCTTTAGGGGACCCCATCCCCCACAAGGCCAAGGAAGGTCGGACACCCTCTGTCCTCGTTTCCCAGCAGGCAGACAGGCACAGGCATGGCCAGGCAGAGGTGCTGGCCTGGGACACTGAACCTAGAGGAAAGCAAAGCATCAGCGTGAACATGGAAGTCCCTGGGAAAGTGCGTCCTGGGGTACAGCCTGCTCAACAGCCCCACCGAGGGGTGTGCCTGCAGGTGGCCCTGCTCAGAGCCTGCTTTCTAGCCTGCCTGCTAACTCCACCACCTGCCTGACATCAGCTGACATGGGCGGCCACAGCCATTGTTCTTGTCCTTGAGGCAGGGACTGGAGCTCAGGTGGCTACCATGGGAACATCAGCTGGTCTGACAGGAAGTCACGCCTGGAGACCAGACACAGGGGCATGAGGGGTGGCCAGGAGAATGCAGTGTTCCCAGGGGAGTGGGCAGCGGCAGAGGAGAGGTAGCAGGAAGCCCTCGAGTACTTCCCTGGTCTGTGCTACCAGAGAGGCTGGAGACAAAGGTCCTGAACACTCTCCATGGCCTTTCACTACTCACCATTCAGCCTCTCCTTGTGTGTCCCCTGCTAGGAGTGCCCCCCCACCCCAATTAGCCCACCCAGAAAAGCGGCTCACCTCTCACCTCCAGCCTTGTTACTCTCTCCCCTCCCCAGCTTTATTTTACTGCAATGAACATTCCCCAAGTGGAGCAGCTTTGTCTTGTCCGCAACAGTTGCCCAGCCCATGGCAGGGACCCACTTAATAGGTATTGGGTGAGTGCTTTAGAAGCTGCCCCAAAATAGCAGCTCTGGCCACAGAAAGTGGGGAGCTCACCAAGGGTATCCACGAGCACAACCACAGGGGACCCAGATAGACGAATTCAAATAAAGGGTTCACATAGTTCACTACAGTGAAGTCAAGGAAAATGGTTTAAAAATTCACTGTGGCACTGACTGGTATACCTCAGTAGGTCAGGCGTGGCCCCGAAGAGTGAAGGGTCGTCAGTTTGATTCCTGGTCAGGGCACTTGACTGGGGTGCAGGCCAGGTCCCCCAGTCAGGGTGCACAAGAGGCAATCAACTGATACTTCTCTCCCTCTTTCTCCCCAACTCCCCTCTAAGAATAAATGGATGAATGAATAAAATCTTTTAAAAAATCCATTGAGGAAGAGGGAGTAACCCTCTTTCCCCCGATGGAGAAAGAAGTATAGGGACCCAAACTAAAGGCAGAGAGAGGTGTTGACCCTGGTAAAGGCCACATCTTCCCTTGAGAGGCACAGAAGAGAAATAAAGGTTCCTCTCACAGGACATCCACACAAAGCAGCACCCTTGGCCAAGGTTCATCTGAGGCACCAACACAAACTTTTATATTGGGTTGGCCAAAAAGTCCATAACATTTTTTTCTGTATGGTGGCTCTAGTAGCACTTTAACTTCTAGTCTTTAACTTCATTAGAAACAATTTTGTTAGATTGTATTGTGACAGTTATCATCTCAGCATGCATGTTAAAAAAACTTATCAAAACTGGTGAATTTTTGTGCAGCCATTTTAATATTGAAGATGGAAGAAGATATGCGACATTTTCAGTGTATTATACTTTATTATTTCAATAAATGTAAAAATGCAACTGAAACACAAAAAAAGATTTGTGCAGTATATGGAAAAGGTTCTATGACTCATCAAACATTTCAAAAGTGGTTTGCGAAGTTTCTTGATACTAGTGGCATTTTGGCCAAATAATCCTTTGCTGTGGAGCCATCTTATGCATTGGAAGATGTTTAGCAGCACCCCTGGCCTCTACCCACTAGAAGCCAATAGTGAGAGATAGAAACATACTCAATCTAAATCAATAAAGTTACTGGTGAAAATGAAAAATGTGTCTTTTATTTTACAGAAAAAACCATACAGACTTTTTGTCCAACGCAGTATTTGGCAGAATCACATGTCCACTGTCCCACCCAGACCAGACGTTCCAGGCCATTTCCAACTGAGTAGGTAGGACAATGGCAATCCTATAGCAGCTAAGACCTGATGTTTTGTAGGTAAAGAAAAAAATCAGAGCTAATTCTAGAGCAATGGACTTCATGGCACAAAAACAGTTCAAGCAGCTTACAGTCAACCTCAAAGTGGAATACAAGCGTGGAGCTGGGGATCCCAGGGGCTCTGAGTGGCTTCGGAGGCCTCTGCCTTTTGAGCACTAGCTGACAGCAAGCTGACACTACAAAGTCTTTGCTGACACTTACATTTCTACTGTGGTATTCCATAAAGGGTCTCTTGAAATAAAGGTTAATACTTAAATATCTTTGTAACATATGAAATGCTAAAGAACAATCCTCATCCTAGTTCCTTTTAGTGAGAAGGCCAGCAGCCGCTGGAAGACAGTGAGATGCCTTAAATTACACTTAGCCTCCAGAGCCACACAGACATTCAGGGTTGGAAAAAAGCCTGTCTCCAGCCCCTATGGGCCATGCAACATCAAGTATGTTCCTTAGCCTCTCTAGGCACCACCAGAAAGCTGAGGAAAGAGGGCCCAACCCCCCTTTTCAGAGTTAACCACCACACGTGCACCAGAGTTCTAGAGAGTGGGAGGTCAGCTAACTCTTCATTCACTCCCCTACTCCAATCTCTGCCAGATGTATGCAGAGGGAAACAATCTGGTTGGAGTAGGCTTAACAGTTCTTCCTTTCCAACAAGCCTTCCAGAACCAAGGAAGAGGAAGAAATCTCCCCCTGCCCAAGAGGCTGGGTCCTTGTCCATGTCCCCTCCCACAGTGGTTGGGTGGACCCGGACGGTGACCTCCGAATTGACTTCCCACTACTGTGGTGTACCCTGAACTTGGGTCTACTTCGTCCCCACTCTGTGGTCTTCTCATAGGGCCACAGAGAAGTGAAGATGCCACTAACCATGAACACTTTGCAAATAAATACAGCATTCAAACATCTGTTAACCAGTGGTTGGCATCAGAACCCCATGCAGCTTCTTGAACTGGTCTCCCACAGGAAAGCCTCAGTAAGTCAGCTGGTACCAAGTGGCAAGTTCCACAGACCGTTCCTTCCTGGTCAGACCCCACACGGTAGCTCTGCTGTTGTACCTCTACAGGTTTCACCTGCATTTCTGTTCACAGAGCTCCTTGGTGCTTGACACTGGAAGGGCAACACTGTCATGTGCCATTACTACTCAGTTATTTGATGACACAGACAGCCTTGTGCCTCTAGTACTTCCTCTGCTGTGACTGGGAGTCCCTCCTACCACCTGAGTAGACACCGTGGATGTGCCAGGGGTCCAAGGGCAAGAGAATCAGTACCTCCTTTCAGCAAGTCCTTCCTTGCGCTCTGCCTTTGTGCCTGCCTAGGACCACCTGGGGTGTCACTCCACAAGGAACCAATCCCTGGGCTAGGGGAAAAGGGATGCGCCTGACCATGCCCACCCCACCAAAGGACTATCTTCTAGCCTCAGAGGACACGGATCCCGGCCAGCGAGGACCCTGGGTCATGTTTCTCACCCCTTTAGAGCTGCGACTTCCAACTTTTCTCATCTCCTGGCACACATACACTAATTGCCAAAACTCTGCAGCACACCAAAAATATGTATGTTGGCAATCTGACAAAAAATATGTATAATTTTGATTAATTCCCACTGACGCTACTGCGTGTTGGCTGCTGTCACTTTTTTACTTGGCAATCTAAGGGAAAAGAGGTCAGCGGCCCTGCCTCAAGAGTCAGGCGTTACGTGTGCACACGGTGGAAAATCGCTGCTTTCCAGTCCCCAGATGTGCCCCACTCTGACACCCCTGCCCCATATCTCAGGTCCTGGCAACTCCTTTCCTCTCCGGCCCCCAACCACCCCCTCACTATCTAACCCACTTCATACCAACCCAGACCTCTGCTGTGCCTCTGAGCTAGCCCAAGGCTGTCGTCCTTTCCTCGTCCCGGCCTCACTCCCCTTCCTCGCCCCCCGAGACCACTCCCTTTCTCGGCTGTTCCCCGTAGCCAGGCGTGCTTCCCACCTCCACGGAGGCTCCCCACTGCCCCAGTCCGGCCTCCGCCGCGCCTCAGACTCACTGGACAAGCCCCCGAGCCTCGCAAAGACTACGCAGGGCCGGCACCGTCCAATGGAGAAGCTAAACTCCGGCGGAGGAAGCACTCAGCCCTGCGGCGTTCTGGGAGGCTGCGCACCTGATAGCGCGTCTTTCTGCCGAGGCTCGGTCTGGGCCCCACCTTCAGTTCCTAGGCCCGGAGCCCAGCCCCGCAGAAGCCCGCCGGCACCTGCGAGTCCCGGTTCCCGACTCCTGCCGGGGCAGCCCCAGCCACGCTTGCCAAGAACTCCGGGGGTCCGACCGCAGCCGCTGCGCCGAGTGCCGACCGTGTGACCCGGCCAGGCAGTCCCATGCACCCAGCCCACGGGGGCGCGCGGGCCCTCAGAGCGCTGCCCCGTCGACGGATCAGCGCGGCCCCGCAGGGTCCCACTCCCCCGACCTGACCGCGAGCGTGGGCTACGTCGAGGCCGGAAGGAAACCTAGAGCCAACGCCCCTCACCGCCCCCTTCCGCCGTCCGCATTCCAAGTCCCCCACAAAAAATCTCGAAATGGTTCAATCCGTGCCGGGCTACTGGAGGAAACCATTTCAAGAATGGGGGAAAATGCTTAAATTTAAAAAAACTTTTTAAGCGATTTGAGGGGAAGTGAAGCCTTCCTAAGACTCCTGAAAGAAACATAAGGTCTCAGCGTCATAATAAGCACTGTAATTTAAAAGTTGGTTTTTAAGCCATTGGTGATGACTAAATTCCCCAAGAAGCCATCCTCAGTGAAACCCGAACAGGCGGCCGGGAGGCGGCCGCCGCGACTAGATTTGCAACACCGGTGGGCGGTCCCTGGGACCTCCTTGTGGGGCGGGGCCAGAGTGCGCAAGACTGGAGTGCGTAGGACAGGAGTGCGTACGTTCGTATCTCAGTCCCCTCCCTAATCTGCCTACGGCACCTGAATGGTTCGGCGGAGTTGAAATTTACTAATCGGTTATTTAGTAATACTTCGTAAAAACCTCGGGGCATGTTAACCTGTCCGCTTAAAAATTAGTGTTACAGCCATATGTGTACGATGTACTGTAGGCTCTTGGAATTAAGAGATTCCGACCCGGGTTCAGCTGTGCGCCTTTCACCCGGAGCCAGTCGCCCTCGGTGGGCAGGGTGTCCAGAGCGTGGCTGTTCTGAAGCGTTGGGAAACAGAACATCACCCATCCTAAAGTAGAAATGGGTGTCACTTTCTCTTTGAATTTCCGTGTTATGCTGAAGAGAGGACATGAGAAAAGAATGAAATTGCAATTTGTTTTTCGTCTTCTTTTACCGGTTAAGGAGTAGGAGTGGAATTAGGTTAGGCATTGCCTTTACAGGTTTAATTATTCTTACTAATCCAACAGGGGCGGGCAAAAGTAGGTTAATAATAATAGAATAACTTACAACAATACAAGAATAAACTTTTTAAAAACATTTTATTTACTTTTAGAGAAGGGGGAGAGAGAGGGAGAAACATCAATGTGTGGTTGCCTCTCACGTTGCCCCTGCTGGGGACCTGGCCCAAAACCCAGGCATGTGCTCTGATTGGGAATCGAACCAGCAAACCTTTGGTTCACAGCCCACGCTCAATCCTCTTAGCTATACCAGCCAGGGCAGAATAAACTCTGCTTTGCTACTCACAACTGTAAACCTCATTAACACAATAGCAGGGTGATAACCAGAGGGGAAGATGGGGGAAGGAGGTGGAAGATAAATGGGAGATGAATGGTGACAGAAGGAGACTGGACTTGGGGTGGTGGACACACGATACAGTGCACAGATGGATATGTTACAGAGTTGTACACTTGAAACATACATAATTTTATTAACCAATGTCACCCCGATAAATTCAATAAAGAAGAAAAAAGTAAAAGACAAATATCATATGGTTTTATGTATAGCATGGGGGACCCAAAAGCCTGCCATCTTTTGGAGGGCAGGCCCCTTGTAGCACAGGCCTCCCCCTGCTAGGTGCTAGGTGCAGATGGGTTCTAGGAACCCATCTGCATCAGTGCACCAGCTGGCTTTGTGAGAGAATGCATTTCACTTCAGTGAATTTTTTTTTAAGACTCTTTCAACTCATTTGCTCATTTCATGATGGGTGATTTACAAATGCACCTGCCCCCACCACACTCAGTGTTCAGCAGTTTTTGAACAAAAACAGCATGCCCCCTGTGCCCCACCCTCTCTATTCACCACATCTCGCCCAGACACTTTTTTTGTTGTTGTTTCCCCAGGTAAGGAGTCCTCAAAGGGAAACATTTGCTGATGTGGAAGAGGTGAAACAAATGGCAGAAGTACCAAAAGGCATCAAAACCAATGTGCTCAAAGACTGTTTTGAGCAGTGGGGAAAAACATCTCAATAGATGTATTGCATTAAATGCAGTACTTTGAAGGTGACTGAAGTTTAAACACATAAGAATAAATACACAATTTCTTATAAATAAATTCCATTTGGGGGGTGCGCCCTTGTATGTACTCTAAAAAACACAATAAACAAATACAGAAACAGTCATAGATACAGAGAACATTTTGATGGTTGCAGATGGGAGGTGGTTTGGAGGAATGGGTGAAAAAAGGGTGGGATTAAGATGTGCAAATTGCCAGTTATAAAATCAGTCATGGAGATGTAAAATATAGCATAGAAAATATAGTCAATAATACAGGGTGGAGCAAAGTAGGTTTATAGTTGAGAGTACACAAATTTTTTCTTGCATTTTATTTATTATTGTATTATTTTCCATATAAACTGTAAACTTAATTTTGCCCCACCCTGTATTGTAATAAGTATGTATGTTGGTTTCAGATGGGTACTAGACATATTGAGTGATCATTCTGTAAGTTATATAAATGTCTAATCACAATCACTATATTACACACCTAAAATATAATATTGCATGTCAACTATAATCGGGAAAATTTTTTTTTAATTATTTTAAAACAGAATAAAAGATGTCTTGATGCTTTTCTGTCTTCCTACTACCTACCAAGAGGCTTAATTGAATAGGTAGTGATAGCTGTGCATCCAAGCTGACAAGAGCTTTAGGGACACCTGTTTCCAAGACCATAGTGTAACAAGGTGCAGCCAAAAGGGGGGCCCCAAATAGGGATTTGGAATGGGGCCCAGAACTCAAGGTGTCCAGGAAATATTAGGATGTCCTCTCACCTCCCCCCACACATGTGTGGGTTGGGGGAAGGGACACATGGATCAGGACTATTGAGAGCTGTTTTGCATAGCAAGAGATTTGCAGCTAACCTCTGGTGTGGTCATTTAACATATCTATAATCTTTAACTGGTTGCACAGATATGTTAATTAGCTGTGGCCATGCTCTGAGCCAGCGGAATGGAAGTAACTTCCCCACCAAGACGTAACTTGGTGGGGGGGGGGGGCAGGTCCCCTGAGTTACAGTGCCTGCATGGGAGCTTGGAGATTGGCTTCGTGACATGGGGCCACGCCAGCCCAGGTTCACAATGTCAGCCCAGTAAAGCTGGAAGGATATGAGAGTGCTGGCGAGTGTAGCCAATTGTGGGAGGAGTTGGAAATGGGGCTGCAGAGGAAGATTGGTGTGGGGATTTAAACCCAGACATGGCAGCCATTGGGGGGAGAACCACGCGGTTTTGCCAGAGTGGGGACTCCCGCAGCCCTGTGAGAGAGAATCACCATTTGGCTTTAGCAGAGAATCTCCACTCAGCTTTGGCAGATTGGTGACCCCTGCCTCTTTGCAGCCATTGGAGGGAGAGCCACACAGCTTTGCCAGAGTGGGGAACCCCCATAGCTTTAGAAGGGGGAACCACTACCTGGCTTTAGCAGAGATCCCGGCGACATAGCTGATGGTGCTGGGAACCGAGGGAAGCCTGCCAGTTGAGCACGGATTATTGGGAAGAACCCAGGACTGCCTGAGCCATGAACTTCCATTTCTTTTCCTGAGATACGGTACCCCAGACTGGGCAAAGGGGGAAGGAAGGACTGTGTGTGTTTGTGGGTGTTTTAAGGGACTTTGGGATTTTGATGAAGACATTAGGTCACTACTTTAAGCCTGTATAGCATTAAATAAATAAACATTTACTTTCCTTTTCACAAATCTCTGGCACTGAGAGACGTCTTTCCTCTGGCAGCGGACACAACGAACCTGGGGAGTTCCTTTCGGTAATAGTATATCACCCCAGGCCCCCACTTGTTGCTCTGTAACAATAGGTCAAAGTCACATCAAGTCTCCTTGTGCAATTTCTTGTGGAGGTGTTTTAGATATGTCTTCACCAACCTATAGTCTCATGCAGCTACAGAATACAGTTTGGCTTTATCTTTGAGTCAAATCACCATGTTTTGCAGTTTCAGGAAAAGGAGGTATGTTTCATTTGTAAGCAACTGGATCTAATCTTTTTAATCACACCTCATTTTAAGGGTGGACTCCTTGTTATAAAAAAAATTAACCTAGGCTTTCCTTTCCCCCAACAACCAAGACAACTCCATGTTTTCTGGCATGTTTGACAGTGTGGGAAGGGACAGTGTCTGGAAGGCAGCAGACAATGGATAGTAATCTCGGAAGGTGGGACTCATGTACACTCTCTAAGTCAACTCTGCATAAAAAGTGTCCATCCAGTTGCAAGCAAGAGCTATTAGTGGTAGTCCAACATTTTCCCTTAAAAAAACATACTATTGTTAATTCAGCATTGTTAACATAGCAATTTTAGAGAGATTTTAAAAATTAGCCCCCTCACCCAATTAGAATTCAACTGATAGGATTTTTGTGTTTTAATGTAATACTCACTACTTTTAAGTTACCAAATGGTTTCTTGTTAGTCTAATAATAACTTTAACAGTTCATTAGGCAACAGTTCTCTGGTCTCAACTTTTGATTTTAGGAATCAGATAGGAAAGGAGGCAGATAGGATTTTCTTTGTTCACCATCATTAAGTAATTCAACTGCCCCCCCAAAGGTAGGCCACCTAGTTGTCCTACTCCAAAATACCATATCTGATTTTCCTGGCTATTGATTTTCTCTGGGCATTTGCAAGTGCTCAGACTTCTGTGCAGATGTTTTCTTCTACACACTGGCTACCATTTCAAGTTACAACCCAATCAACTTAGAACTTATAAACCCCAGGGAAGGAGCATGGGGAGGCACAGGGAGGAGGGCCCTCAGAGGAAACCACCACTACCAACGGCTCCTGGCCTCATGGTCTTGGACTGGGAGGAGTCTCAAACAAGGCCTGAGAGCTTTCATGCAGGGTGACCATGTGACACAGTCACAGGCTAATGGATGTAAGCACAGGTCTGCAGAGCACTCCTGGGGACCTTTCCAAATAGAGACACTGACCTATCCTACTCCATGAGCCATCTTTTGGATTAGACTGTAGGTAAGACACCTGGAGGTGCAAAGGCCATCTTGAAACCATGAATGAGAAGTATGAACTGAAAGTGAACATTCTAGAAGCTGAAGTGGTCAAGT